CAATACGTCGCTGTCGCCTGCAGCATGTTGTGCAACAGAGCTCCAGAGCTTATTCATCCTGCTTAGCTGAACCTTTTGTATTTGATTTAGAAGGTGGGTGTGACAGTCTGTAAATACACACTCTGTTGAGGGTTCTTTCAAACGGCACAAAAGCACAACCCCAGGAAGTCCAGATGGGAAAGGAACAGAGCTACTATGGCTAAATCTGGGGGAATGGAGGACAGGTGTCATTTTACAAAACTGGACACCTGTGTAAACAGGCACTCTGAGGCCGACACTAAGCTATGCAAAGCAGGAAATGCTTAATGATGTGATGCTCCTAACTCAGTAGAGCTAGGCTCTGCTTTAAGTAACCAGATGATCCCAGGACCCTGGGAGGCTGAGACAAGAGGACTGCAAGTTTGAGTACAGCCTGGGTAACTTACTCAGTAAAACCCTGTCTGTAAATAAAAAAGGTTATAGGGATAGGAGTAGGGTTGGGGAAAAAAAAATGTTTTAAAAAGCGAAAGGGATGTAGTTTGGTGTGAAGGCCCTGGGTTCAATCCAGGAAGGCAGGAAGGCAGGCAGGAAGGAAGGAAAGAGACAGAGACAGAGACAGAGACAGAGAGAGAGAGAGGAATGAATGTCAGGGTCCCTCCCCAACCTCCCAAGCAAACTTCCTGCTGGGGCTCATTGCATGTGGCACAAGAACTGTCTACCTTTGAGGCTTTTCATAAAGTTCACATGCGGGGCCCCTAAGGTGTAATCTGATGTACAGGAACTTCCTTGTCCTTACCGAATGAACTCCACAGAATGTTTGCAGTCTGAGCACAAAGAACATCTTAACGAGCTCACCTTAAAGCAGGTGGAGGAAGGGGACTTGAGGCCATCAGAGGTCACTCCCCATTTCACTAACCAGAACACTGAATCCAGAAGAGAAGCTGGCCCAAGAGCCCTGAGCCCTGAAGCAAAACCCTTAAACAATCCCTTCACAGAAACCTCTGCAGCATCAGTTGATAGGCTTGTACTGGAAAATCTTATACTTCTAAGGAAGGATAACGTAGGAAGAGGGAAAAACTGTCTAAAATGCAGACACACCGCATGTTTGTTTTGGAAAGGACCAGTCAAGAGTCCACAAGAGGTTATGAAAAACCCCAGCACTGCCACTGCCAATGTTTGTCTCTGGAATGACAGAGAGAGAGAGATGTTTGTTATTTGTAAGAATTATCTTTGCTGTTATATGGCTCATTCCTGCCTGCAAGGACTGCTCTCATCTGGTGCCAAGGAAAGACTACTGAAAACAAAGTGCAAAAATTATTATCATTGACCAATACTAGAAACACTGCAGGCAACTGAAATGCCCCCAATCCACAGTGAGGGGGACCTTACTGCTCCTCTACCACCAGTGGTTCTATTTCATGTCCAGGCCTTAACGACATCTCAACCTGAGCCTAAGAACTCTTAGGAATGCCCAGTGTTCACAGCAGTTCCCAAGGGGAACTCACCTGGGGTCCTGGGGGCAGGAGCTAAGAGACAGAAAAGGGAGTAGTGACAGAAACAGGAGAGTAACAGGGAAGGGAAGACTATGCATGAAAGGAAAAGAAACCCCTGGCACAGATGGCACATAGGAAGCCTTCTCGTGGGGAAACCAACAAGCCTGTAATGGGCAAAACTTGAGAGCTTTACTCCTGCTACCAACTAGAACAGGGTGAAAGGATGGAGAGGAAAGTTACATACCATAACAGATAAAACATGATACCAATAGCACCCATGTGTGTCACACCTAAGAGCCTGCAGAGTGCTTCCGTGGCCCGGCCCTCAACAAAGCTGTGAGGAGAGGTCACCCACCAGCCCCACACTGTAGAGGAGGATGTAGAGGCCGGAGGCCAGGGCTCCCCAGTGACAAGGTTGGGACTGGAGAGCAAGCACACTTTTGCACCAGGCAATGTGGAAGTGACAGCAAATGATGTGTCCTCAAACCATCTCCTGTGGCCTTTATTCTCTGCAGACTCAAATGGCCTCACCCTCAACACATCTAAAACCCAACTCAAAGCTGCGTGTGACTGTGATCCCAGTATTCCAGGATGAGCCAAGCCTAAGCAGCTCAGTGACTTAGCCAAAACCTTGTCTCAAAATAAAAAACAACAAAAGGGCTAAGATGTAGCTCAGTGAGAAGGATCTGTGCTCAATCTGCAGTACCAAAAAACTTGGGGGTTTTCCTAGCAAGACTTAGCAGTTACAATGCAGACAACAGTTAACATTTACTGAACATTTCTTATGTGCAAGTAATAACACTATGAGGCATTTTAATTATTTTATCATCATTTCTCTTTATCCCCAATCCCAACCCCATTGTGCAAGCAACCACAGTGGCCTCCAGATGGACTCGTACCTCTCTCCACACCTTGGATGGAGCCAGCTTTCTAAGGCTCAAACCTGACCACCCCTCACTGCTGACATCCCTGTAAAGGCTCCTGGGATAAAGACAAACCTGCCTTGGCCTCAGGGCCCAGAACCAAGGTCCACCCACCTCTCCACCCTATGTCACATTCTGCTCTATTTTTTTTTTTTTTTGGCTAAAATTCTTTTATTGGTATATTTTAGGTATACAATATGTTTACACATATCTGTGGGTGCTTGCACCTGTACATGATGTATCTTAGTTCTTATTTTTTCCCCATTCCCTGAGCACCCTTCACCCCCTCCACCCTTCCCTATTTACAAAGACTTTCTTTCCATTTTTTCCTTTTCTCATTATTTTTCCTTTCCTTTCTTCCCTTTCCCCTTCCCCTCCCACTTCCCCTACTGCTTTGGACCTTTTCTTCCTATTTCAAATGATCAATTATTCGTTTTAATCATTTTAATCCTTATTTACACTTTCAGTTTCTCACAATAGAGAAACTATTCGCTATTACACGTGTGTCCTATTTGTTTCACTTAAGAGTATGTCCTCGGGCCGGGGATTTAGCTCAGTGGTTACACCACCTGTCTGAAAAGCACAAGGACCAGAGTTCAATCCCTGGTACCAAAAAAAAAAGAGTATGTCCTCAATATGCATCCATTTAGCTATAAATGACTCTAGTTTCTCGTTCTTTATGGCTGAATAGTACTCCATTTTATAAAAAAAAAAATCTTCTTTATCCAGTTTCCAGTTGATGGGCACTTGGGCTGTTTCCAAGCTTTCGCTGTTACAAACTGTGCCACTATAAACATGGGTGCACATACATCGATGTGGTATGATTCTTTTAGTTCTTTTGGGAAGATACCCAGCAGGGGAATAGCTGGGTCAAATAGGACCTCTAGTCCCAGTTCTTTGAGGTATCTCCATACTGATTTCCACAGTGGTTGGACCAGTCTGCACTCCCACCAACAATGGAGAAGGGTTCCTTTCTTCCCAACACCCCCGCCAGCATTTGTTATTGGTTGATTTCATGATAGCAGCCATTCTTTCTGGGTGAGGTGGAATCTCAGGGTTGTTTTCATCTGCATCTCTCACCATGTGAATACAGCATGGATTGAGTTGGAATCACACCATGAGTCAGCACAACCCATGTCGAGCCCTTTTTCTTGGTGATGGCTCATCCTCTGACAAACAATAGGTGCAGGTGCCATCTCCTGGAAACCAATGCCAAAGCACTAATCCTGGGACCTCTGCACAAACCCCACTTTTGCATTCTGCTCTTTAGCTCTGCTGTACACCCTACTCTGCCCCTGCTTGGCCTTGTACCCTACAATTCTTCTGCTCAAATCCAAATAAGTAAGATCACAGTAGTCCCTTGCTTAAACTCTTCTTAGGGCTTCCTTTTACTGTTACAACTACAGCTGATACACAGGCCCTGATGCTCTGTTTCTTCACAGCACTTCTTATTACTAGAAGGAATCATGTTCGTTTCTTTATGATCTGTCTCACCCCACAGAAGCAGGGACTTGGATTTGTTCACTACACCAGTGAATATGTGCTCAATCAATGCCTTGTACCTTGTTACTAGCAAACAGCTGCTGAATCCTTACTGAGTGCTGGACAGTGAAAGAAACAAGTCAGCTACACAAACTCATTCCCCAGGCAACAACTCTGTTGCCATCTTCCAGATGAGAAAATGAGAGGTAGAAAAGGCAGGGCCCATCTGGGATTCTTACTCAGGCACCAGCTCCAGAGTGTTCACTACTACCCCACAGCACCTCTGCTGCCTCCCACTAGAATCCCATCCAGTTCCAGTCTCATCTCCCAGAATGGATGGGTCCTGGAGAACAGGCACTATATGTTAGGCACAGTTTCCTAGGGTCAAGGACTCACACAGGAGGTCCTAGATAAAAGCTTAGGAGAGGGCCGGGGATTTAGCTCAGTGGTTTCGCCACCTGCTGTGCAAGCACAAGGACCTGAGTTCAATCCCCAGTACCAAAAAAAAAAAAAAGCTTAGGAGAAAATTTAGGAATTCAGGGAAGCTGTGGCTACGAAAGCTCCATGAAAGGCAGACAAGATTAAGCAGCACTATCTTTTCATATTTACAGTACACATCTGTATTCACAAACGATGAAGGAGAGCATCAAGTGAGACAAGGAGAGAGATTAGTAATACATATCCCCCAAAGACCAAGTCTGTCCTTCCCGGTTTCCTACTTCAACCCATAAAACCTTTTTCCAGAGAAAGTCCAGCAAATGACATTTGGAGGGACTTCCTTCTGCTCCTAGTAGCAAAGTTGTACATACTTGCTTGCTGAATACTACCACCATCTGAGTGCCTGAGTGCTACTAGTTAACACACACTCAGTCCTCACAACAACCCTGTAAGACACATAGGATGTCCCAACTGACAACTGTACAAACCAAGGCCCTGCGATGTGAGGGGACCTGCTCTAAGCCTCACTGCTGTGGGCAGGAATCCAGACTGACTTGCATTCCATACCACAATGCCAAAAGCTTCATTTTGGTACTCTACTGTCACAAGATTTTCCAAACTACACAGAAGTACTCATTCAAGTAGTAGAGCTCAGAGGCTGAAGCATCTGAGGAAATTACTGTACCTCTTCTAGAAGATGATGTTTAAAATGGCCCAGGCTGCATGAACACTGGTGAAAATCTGCAGACATCAGCAGGAACTACAAAGGAAAGATAAAACCCCTGGTAAAGGAAGCGGGAGGGCTGGGCGGGTGAGTTAAACCTCAATTCACAGGATATCCGTCCTGCAAAGAGGAAGCTAAACTGCAGATCAAGCAGCTGGGAAGGGAAGTGGCCCGGTCTCTGGAGCTTGGAGCTCACAGACCAATTGCAGACAGCACGGCAGAGGAGAGGTGCACAGGTCAAGCCCAGAGCTGGCCCAGAGGCAGGCAGACACAATTAACACCTCCTGTCTGGTGAATGGGCAAGGGTACTTGGGTCAAGAGTAAACATATTTACATCTAAGAAATATGAGGTGCTGAGGGTGTAGTTCTGTGATAGTGTATGCTTAGCATGCAGGAGTCTCTGGGTTCCATCCTCAACACAAAAGAGAAGAGAAGAGAAGAGAAGAGAAGGGAAAGAGAAGGGGAAGGGGAAGGGATGAACGCCAGACTGTCCTGAGTGTGCGTTACTTGGGGAGATTTCTGCCTAAAGCATTCAGCACCAGCAACTGCTAACATCAAGGCACCTGGAATCTCCAAGGACTCATATCACCACAAACCATGATGACAGTCTGTTTCCACTTTTATTTCTTAACCCATAAAATTAAACTTTATTCTCTAAAATATAAGAATCTGAGAGGACTTCTGTGTGCCCACTGATGGGCCATACAAGCCTTTCCTCATTGATCACCATGCACCTTGTTATGGCTGGAACCATCTCTCCTCGACACACATGGTTTAGTTTATCCTGTCACATACTGGCAGTTATGACAGGTAGGACACCCACAACAAATGCTTCTTGACTGTCACAGCCCTGACACATCTTCCATCTCCTGGTCTGGCAAATGTACTACTCATGTTATCTACTAGCCTTTGTGGCCCTTTGAATTTGCAATCCTGCTCAAAGAAAGTCATGGAGAGCTATGGAAAGACCAGCAGAGATGTTCACAGGGTGCTCGCCTTCCATCCTTCCAGAAGGGCTGACAGACTTACAGGTCCAAGGATACTGCCACAGCACACAGAGGCCACCAGACTTTCCATGTTATGAAGAAGTCATAATCTCAGAGCAAGATATTTATGCGGAAAAAATTTAAAAAACAATTTCCTGCACTTTATTGGGTTTAATATGCAAGGCTCTTAATTTTAAAGGTAATCAATAATTTGTGGTTATCAAAAATAGAGCAAGGTAAAGAGAAAAGAAAGAGCTTTGAGAAGTAAAATAAATTTTAAAAATAGTCTCTGTACTCTTCTGTGCCTGGTGCAGCCATAGCTTGTGGTCCCAAGAAGCATCTGATACGGGCAACAGCTCCAAAGCAATGCATGCTGGAAAAATCAACAGGTGTTCAGGCCCCACAAACTGAGAGAATGTCCTCTTATCATTTCCCAAAGGAAAAGACTTAAGAATGCTCTTAAAGGAGATGAAGATTTGCATGCAGCACTTCATTAAGACTGATAGTCAAGTGTGAACTGATATAATCTTCCCTGCTGGTTCTATGGATGTCATCAGCATGGACAAAGTCAGAGAGAATTTCCATCTGATCTGTGATACCAAGGGTATTAGATCCGAGAAGGACAGGTACAAGTTGTACAAAGAAAGAGCCTGTGGACACAAAAGGAATCCCAATGGAAATGCTCATGCCATTTGCTACCCCGATCCTCTTATCACAGTAATGATACCATCCAAATTGATTTAGAGACTAGCAAAATTATTGATTTCATCAAGTTTGACACTGGTACCCAGTATATGGTCATCAGAGCTGCCAACCTGGGAAGAACTGGTATGATCACCAATAGAGATGGCTCTTTTGATGTAGCTCTTATGAAAGAAGATAATGGCAACAATTTTAGTACCTGGCTCCCCAACATTTTTGCTACTGGCAAAGGCAACAAACCATGGATTTCTTTTTCCCTATGAATCTGCCTGCCACTGCTGAAGAGAGGGGTCAGGAGTGTGGCAGCCCAACAAAGCAGTGGGTGAAATGGTCTATAGGTGACACGTTGGAGAGGTCTAATTAAGGATAAGACAGCATGATCCTGAAAAACAAAACAAAACCATTCTAAATGTTTATAAAACCTCACAGAAGAGGGTCTGGTACAAATCTAAGGTAAGATCAGGTATTCTGTTGGAAACTTGTTTTAAAAAACCCAAAACTGGGCCAGGGATTTAGCTCAGTGGTTTCGCCGCCTGCTGCGCAAGCGCAAGGACCCGAGTTCAATCCCTGGTACCAAACAAAAAACAAAAAAAAAAACCCAAAACCCACAAGATGTACTATCTCTGGTTACATATAGAGCTCACATACAGAAAGGAGTATCTTTCTAACACTGGCCTCAAGTTCCCAGCCTTGGGTTTCTTCAGTGTAGATATCCTCAGTCCATAAATCAATTGACTTGGACAAAACGCAGCAGCATCCTTCCCTGTGCAAGGCTCCCTTGAATCTTAGTATCAGACTAGCCTGCCACAGACATCCTGGGACTGTCTCACTTGGTCTGCCTATGTGCTCTACTTGGGAAAGGGGAACAGAGCAACCTGTGGCAAGAGCTGCTCAGATCACAGCAACCTACAACCCAGCATGGAGCCACTAACGTCATAATTGGCAAAGGAAAACACAACTTCACTAAGAGGTGCTGCTGCACTGTCACCCCTGTTTCTCCAGGTAGGGAGGAGATGATGGGGGCACAAACAAGGGCCTTCAGTTACTCAAACAGGACCCTCTCCAGGACTTTCATCTGGGAGATGGAGGTGAGCATTCCAGACTGTGCTTAGAAATCAACCAGGGACCGATATGTTTAACCCCAGGAAGGCAGGAAGTTCCAGCAGAAACACTGTCATTCTACCCCCATCCTGTTGGAACTAAAACACAGCAGGGAAGTCAAGCAAATCAAAGGGGAATTAGAGCCATTCACAGAGGGAGGGGCACTGGGATTAATGAACTCTTTAATTTTTTAATTTCCTGAGGTTTCCAGCTAATTAGGCTCTCAACCATACTGTAATGTGATCAAATTCAACTGGATTTACATAACAGTTGAGAGTGGAAGATGGCACAGAAATCACAGGGGGCTCCAGGGACCGCAGACAAGGCCCAGGGTGCTTGATTCCAGCCTTGATCTGCACTAATTAGGCACCGCTAATTCCCCAAATAATGGCACTCAGAAGGCACTGTGTAATCTACCGTGTGCATTTAGGGAGCTCTGTTCTTAAAGCACTACTGACAATTCTCTAACTTGGTAAAAGCACGCGTGCGTACACACACACATGCACACACTGCTCAAAGGTGAGGAGGAAATGACCAAGTACAACTAGCAAACATATGGATAAAAATATTCAACCTAAAGATAATACCAATGAAAAATTAGATTCTATTACTGCCTGTTGAGCTAGAAATTAAGGGAGGAAAAACACTCAATTTTGACAAAGAAGAAATAAACTCATTCTCATATTGCTAGTGGCATTATATATTGGAATAACACTTCGGGAAATCAGTTTGGCAGTATTTGTCAAGAGTCTGGACAGTGTTCATTCTTTGACATAATATTATTCCTGTTAATCTATCCTAGGAAAGAATCCAAATGCAGAAAAACTACACAGAAGACCACAGTTACTATAAAATTGTTTATAATGCAAGAAATTGGAAGCAACCTTAAAGTCAAACATCACAGAAACTACTGATGTATTTAAGGGTTACTAAGCAGCCATTAAGAAATGATGGTTATAGGGGCTGGGGATTTAGCTCAGTGGTTTTGCCGCCTGCTGCGCAAGCGCAAGGACCCGAGTTTGATCCCCGGTACCAAAAAAATAAATAAAAAGAAATGATGGTTATAAAGACTTCCTAATAAGGTGGAAAAAAGATCAGATCACATTAATTTTTTTTTTTTTGGTACTGGGAATCGAACTCGGGTCCTTGCACTTGTGCAGCAGGTGGAGAAACCACTGAGCTAAATCCCCGGCCCCATATCACATTAATTTTAAAAAAAGAAGATAAGCAATTATATATAGCCTATGGCTCTAACTAATAAAAACGCACATGCATACAAGAAATGAGAAGAGCTATTAAAAATGAAACTGCTACAGGTGATTTTTCTCTTTCATAATCCAAACTTTCCATAAAGCAGCTTTGTCAAGTTGAACCATTTGAAACTGCCAACGGTCAACCATTTGGGGCTATAAAAGTGGCAATTTCACGTGGTTCAACCTATATTTTTATAATTACATTAAGTTTTAATAACTTAGGCTTTCAAAGCACTTGTTCTTATTGTATACCACCACCCCCTTTGATATAAAGAATTTGGATACATATAGGGCACACAAGTGGTTTAATAGTAATCCTCAGAATTTTGTAATACAAAGAAGAGACATCCTTTCAGAGGATTTGAAACAGCTGACAGGAAAAAAAGAGAATGGCCAATCCAAGTCAGTTTCACCACACAATATCGAAGCTCAGTTTTGAAAGACAGGCTCCACTAGCTAAAGGTGGAGGAGGCACCTCTAATATGCTTTACATCTCAAGGGCGGAATCCCTTCCTTGGGTCAGGAGAGCAGTGTGCAAAGTCGCATTGGAGACTGTCTATAGCAGGGTGAGGTGCCTGGCGGGGGGGGGGGGGGGGGATCCTCTATCCTCACTGGACCTTTTCACTTCAGCTGCCCCTCATCTTCAAGTCCCATCTTTCCAGGCCAGCATCTTAAAGGATGCGAACTTTCTTTTTCTGGCCTGGGGACAAGGCTATTTGTATTTACTGAAGTACCTTGATTCTTGGTGCCCCAAAAAAGGGATTAGGATAGGAAGGCACACTCTATAAAGAGCAGGTAGAATCAACATCTGTATGGGTGGAATCTTTTAATAATATTAGCACATGCACAGAAAATATCTAGGCAAACATGTCTAGCAAACACTTAGCAACATCCCTAGGAGTACAATTATGGATGGAGGGGTTTACTTTCCAAGTAACACATTTCCATATTGTTTAAAAAGAGTATTATTGTTGTAGTCAGATTAAGATATTCT